GCAACTTTGCCATCAGGGAAAAGATCGCAAAATCGCATTTTGCTCGCGCCCAGTTCAGCGTTGGCGTCTGACCTTGTCTCAAGCGTCCGTTCCTAGCAGCACAGTAGGAGCGCGCGCGCGTGGGACTTATTGGAGCTAAATCTCCTCCAAGCAGGGCACAGAGCCGCCTGCGTGTGAAAGGCTCCGATCCATGCTCTGATCTCGATCTCAGCCAACACGTCTTGCTCTACTATTGAATGCGTTATAGGGCTTCACTTTGACGTGGATCCTTGACTTTGATGTGGGTCCTTGACTTTGATGTGGATCCTTGTTCTCTGGAGGTGACTGAAGGGTTGCAGCGTAGCAATTAATGCTGCCAACCTCGGTGGTCCGCCGGGTCTGTGCTCTGTTGGATGGTAAGTGACATATCGATGAACTGAGAACCGGGCAGTTTTACTGACGCCAACTACGTGCTTCATCAACAGGGTCCATACTTGGAATTGAAACCCCTCGCTATCGGTTTCGCTGTTGAACTATTGTTTGGCTTGTACTTCACCTGGCAGACCTGCCGCCCAGTCACTTCGCCTACCAGATAGACGCTCCAGAACTTAAGGCACCGAGGTCCACAAGGAGCGCTTGCGACACGCATGTCTCAAACTCTGTCCGTACATCTTGGTACATATATGTGCTGGTATCACGACAGCGATTGGTACTGCCACTCGCAGCGTCCGGTCCGGCATGGACCTCCTAACCCCAATGGAGTCGGTGCCTGGAGTCGGCGCATGACCCCGGGCAGCCCGGTTGTCGCCTTGTCATGGCATTTGACGCAGATTTGGTGTGTGCCGCACGTTGTGTAGCGACTCGGTGTTCATCGACCGAGGATATGGAGCAGCATCCGGGACACACCGCCCGGATAGGCCTTTGCACTGTTTGGCGTCATACAGTTGCGTGGTAGCACGTAATCATCCCATTTTTCCCAATGTTGCTACATGAAGATCAGGACAATGATAAGTTTAGGGAAATGACATGATGGTTTGGAAGAAAGACACAGAGGGGTATTATTGTTGGAAACTAGCTCTAATCCAAAGCGCCGAACCATGGGAAATAGGCACCACCGCAAACGCTCCAACATTTGCTGCGCTCATGATGACCGTCGTGGGGTTCCATCAGGTGGAGACCCTCTCTACTTCTTCTGCTGCTGCTGCTGCTCCTCCTCCGGCTTCTTGCCGCCGCCGAAGAGCCGCCGACGTAGCCGCCAGCACCCTTGACGCCGCTGGTGAGGCCACCGCCAACGGCCTTGCCGCCGTCAACGAGGCCCGTGGCCGCGCTGTTGGCGACGCCGGCGCCGGGGATGCTGCTGTCGGCGTAGTTGCCCTTGTCGTCCCTGCCCTGGCGCTCGGCGCGGTTGACGCCCTCCTTGGAGACGAGGTCGCCGGCGGGCTGGAGGAGACCGCCTTGGCCGACCTGGCCGGCGACGAGGCCGTGCACGCCGTCCTGCAGGGTGTCGACCTGGGAGATGCCGGTGACCTTGGTCTTGTCGAGGTTCTCTGATGGTTGGTGATTAGCCAGGAGGTCTAGGAGATACAAGTCAAGGTGAGGGGGGTTGTGGCTTACGCTTAGCGGCATAGGATGTCTTGTTGTCCTTGGTGAACCACCTCAGGTACAGATCCTCGGCCCAGGGCACCCACTTCTCGTACTGAGAGTTGTATGTCTGCTTGGACCACTCCATTTTGATGCGTTTGCGGGTGTGTATTTGGTTGTTTGGTTTGGGGGGAGTTCGTGGTAGAGGGGTGTTGTAGATGTTGTCTGATGTTGCTTCTGTCGGATGCTGGATCTAGCAAGAGTCCAGTTCGACCGTAACACGGCGACGAAGCATCCTCTTTATCTGAACTGGCTCGACAGGCCTGCCTGCCAGGTTTACTGTACCACCTCCTCCCATCACGCCCGCCGACCATGTGTCTGGGCCGCTGACGAGGTGTGGCTGATGCGTGCCGCCGATCCGACGTCATACCGGTGGCGGGGCACGCGGTCTGATTGGTGCGTTTGGGGGTCAGGAAACCTGAACGTGGAAGGTGCGCGAGCTGCGAGAAGACGTCAGCCACTCCTCGGGCTGGTGTGGCCGTTCGCTTCCCTGCTGGACTTGTGGCTTCTTGGTTTCATCATGATGCGTTCTGGAACGTCACGGCCGGGCAGATTGTTTGTCGCTGCTGCTGGGGCTCAGGGATGAGGGCTCAGGGATGAGGGATGCGGGATGCGGGATGCTTTACCATCTCGATGGAGGGCGTGCCTCGATGTGAAGGAACAACGTCATTGTCGTGGAGAGAGACGGTGGGAGGAGTGGGGCTGGTGACAGAGGAAGAGGAAGCCCAGGGTGCGTGGCTGGTGCTTAGGGAAGTCAGGGTCTGCTGAACGGTGTTTCGCACGTGAAGCTGGCCACGGCATCGTTTGGATTATCAGGGTCTCGCCGTGATAAGTGACGATTTTCTTCTGCCCGCCTCCCCCCTCTCCCCTGGGCATCTTCGAATCCAAGGTGCTTCGCCTCACTTTTTCTTGAAGGTTTTCGTGGGGCTACAGAAACTTGATATCGGCCTCTGCCGACGATCCCCCCTGGAGCGCGATCTCTGCCGCACGTGCAGCAGCCGTATCAGCAGCTTGAGCGATTGCCGAGCTTGGCCTCGATGTGACCCGGTTCCTGGAGATCGTGAGCGTCCAGTTCGTGGAGAGGTGGCCGTGTCGAAGCTGATCATGCCTGCTTGGAGACATCACTCGGTCTGGCCTTGCCCTGCCTCATCCGCTCGGTGAAAGTTTACCTGCCTTTTTCACCGACGCCTGGATCACTGACAATTTTGTCCGTCTGACTTGAATTCCATGAGAGCAGTCTTTTTTCTGTGTTTTGTGCATCGTCGCGCGGGGAACAGTTGGTCCTAGCTGAAGGATTTTGGCGAAACCTCAGCTTCAGCCCCCGTTGCTCGCTGCTGTGCCGCTTCTTGGCACAGCCCTCTTCCTCGGCTCAACGCTGCAGAATGAGGCCCTCCCGACATAAGTACCTGAACTCAGGTAGGTCGTAGCTCAGGCAGTGCTGACCACGATCTGACCACCTCCTCGAAGGAGACCCGTCCAGTCAAATTCATCCATCACGCGTCCGCCTTTCCTTGCCGCCTTTTCCGCACGAAAGAAGTCCTGTCTCTTTCTTTCTTCATCTGGGCAGATGTTTCTTCCCTGAACCACGGTTTCGTTTTCGCAGCACTGCAAGGCATGTCTACCAGCCTCGACAATCTCTCGCCCGCGTCAAAGCTCAGTCTCGACAATTTTTGGAGAAATTGTACGCACTGCAGCAGCTTCAGCTTATAGTCCCGCGCGGGACGTCCCGATCGGCCCGTACCCCTCTACGGCGTCCGGATGGCCTTCGACTCTGGCTCCGCAACCTGAGGCATTGAACAGGGCGACCGATGGGATCCTATATCCAGCTATCCACAAGCCATCGCTCTCAAGGGATAAAACGACACTGGATTCGTCTGTTGCTGGGGTGTCGACTCTACCAGCGGCTGACAGAAACGCCATTCAACGTTGACACCGGCAATCAAATCGCCGGCCATTCGCTGGGCGGGGGCGCACGATGAACAGAAGCATACCATCTACCACTTCAGTATGCCCGGATAGTATCGGTCTGAAAGCAGCTTCAATGGCATTGAGTCAATTTTCTGGACTCATGCACGGATCTAAGGCCGACTGTGGTAGTGGTGCCCGTGGTTCGACTCTCTGGGGGTGTCATGAGGAAATGAGCCCCCCGTTCGAATATCATATTTGCTCCCCATTTGAGCCATCCATCAGATCTGCATCAAACCACATTCTTCTGCAGGAGCCAGTAATCCATGCCTATTCCAACTCGGCAGACAGGAGCTTTGGCTGCGAAAGACGTGTGGTCGACGCAACTCCAATCACAGTCGTCCAGAAAAACGACGCGCCAGATGCTGGCCCCGTCGTTTGGGGGCTTGTGATTGCGGCTGCCATTGGCTTCGCGGTTGGCATGTCGTAGTCGAGAAGCGTCCATGGATGGAGGAGTGGCCTGATCTGATGTTCGCATTGCGTTACCACAGGCTGGCGCGGAAACGACATACTCAGTGGTAGACATGCGAGATGCAATTGGCGTGGGATATGGTAAGCGTCTACAGGTGTAGGCATAGCGAGCTGCAATACTTTCTGCTTTCGGCGTCAGGCTGCCGATGGCTTTCAATGTACGATATGATTCGCAATGGTTGCTAGGACGTTGATGGCTTGACACCCGGAAGAAACCTTCACATGTTCAGGGCCATGGGATTGGTCAGCTATTTCGAAAGAGACAACATTATCGGAAAATCAGTACAACATTGCGAGATCTTATTTCAGCCCTATAAGTTGTTCTGCTGTCTTCCATTTGTACTCTGAAGAGGCAACGCCCTGGAGCCTTGCCGGACAGGGCCAGTCGGTGACGCATCCCAAGTCAGAGTCATGGCCCGAACACCGAAACCCATGGGCCTCTGCCGACCCGCGGGCTCGGTAAGCATATGACACAAGGAACCTTTCGCGGGTGTATTTCAAAGCTCGACTGCCGAGTTAGTAAGGAGCTCTCTGCTGACGATACGCAGAGGGGCACTCGAGATGGGCCCTGGAGGTTGACGCAGAGCTCGGGTTATGACGCCTGTTTAGGAATGGTGCCAACTGCCATCGACTTGCCCACTACCGAAGCGTGACATTAGCGGAATTCCCCCCATTGTCACGAACCAATCCTGTAATGACTGGGCATCCCGACATGGAGAAACGCCTCCAACATGTGCGTGTGGCGCGTCACCTTGACCAGCACCTCATCGCCGACCATGGAGGGGCTTGCGGGGTAGCATCGGGCCATCTACCAGCTAAGTCCGAAACCGAACGACACCGCTGTAGTGATATAAACTCGAGGGAGCGCCGTGATTTGAAGGATTCCTGTTCATCAAATAACATACAATCAAGGATTGCCTGTGCCAGATTCAGCAACGTTCACCATGTCCTCATTCCGCTCCATGCTCGGCGTGCCGCCGTCCACGGCCTCCACCCAGGACAGTGTCCTCGTCATCATCGACGCCCAGGGCGAATACGCCGAGGGCAAGCTCAAGATTTCCAACATTGAGGCGTCGCGCCCCAACATCTCTTCCCTGCTGGAGAAGTACCGCGCCGCCAACGCGCCCATCGTCCACGTCGTCCACGAGACGCCCGCCGGCGCCCCTCTCTTCACGCAGGGCACGAAGCTCGCTGAGATCTTCGACGAGCTCACGCCCAAGGAAGGCGAGGCTGTCGTGACGAAGCACCACCCCGGTTCATTCGCCGACACCAACCTTCAGGAGATCCTGGAGAAGTCCGGCAAGAAGAAGATTGTGCTCGTCGGGTACATGGTGAGTCTATCAACGAGATGGAAAGCTCGTCGTGGAACGTTGCTGACACATTGCAGGCTCACGTCTGCGTCTCGACGACGGCCAGGCAGGGCGCGCAGAGGGGCTGGGATGTCATCGTTGCCGAGGACGCTGTCGGTGACAGGGACATTCCCGGCGTGGATGCTGCGCAGCTTGTGAAGGTTGCTCTGGCTGAGATTGCTGATGTCTTTGGCACTCTTGTCTCGAGCAAGGATATCAACTAGGGCGCCACGTGATTGCTACCGTTATAATCAATAGAAATTTGACCAAATTCTGCACATCCTGATTCCGAGAGGCCGTCTAGCTACGAGCATGTTGACTCTTGTGCCTCTTGATATTCGCGCCCCCAACGGACGCAATCGAGGTCTTGGAAAGCTTTAGCGAGTGTTACAAAGCTAAGCCGTGTAGTTCGCTAGTCTACTTTTCCTGATTGCATTTTGATTGAAAATGAATATTCAGCACTGCTATCACCATCGCTAAATCTCTGCCGACGTCCATTTGTGACTGGCTGCCCAGGGTAGGCTGACTTCTAGGCTTCCTGAGATCTGACATGCAGGGCTCAATAAAGCATGGCGGCAGCCGACGAGAACTCAGGATCGGGCTGCATATTCAGGGGTACATCAACTGACATGCAGTATTTTAGGCAACAGTGGCCCCAAGCACCTAAATCCCACAGACGGTCACATTCGACGGGGTGTTGCGCATGCTGGGCTTGGCCAAAGATGCGGTCAAGAATGGGAGAGGCAGCCAATGTAGTTTGGACCTTCCAGCACCATAAAATCTAGGGCTGGTGACCAAGTTGTACGCTGTGCTGCCATCTCGACATCACCACTTGACTCGATTGAAAGGCACACAGATCAACGCACAATGGCAACCGTGCACGCCCAAAGCCAGTCGCCCTTCTTTCGACTACCAGGAGAGATCCGCGAGCAAATTCAGAGGTTATGCATCATGTGCCGCGACGACATTGACTTTGAAAATCTGAGCCCGACAGAATATCCCGAAGTCCTCTTCAGATCATCGTCCCATGAGACGCCCTCTCTGCCTGCGGTCATGTCCACCTGCAAGAAGATGCACTCGGAAATGAGTCCCTTCGCATTTACCGAACTGGTTGTGCACGAGCAACACCATCTCAATTCGCGCATCAGCCTCATATGCCATGGGCATCTACGATGGGAGCGCATCCTCCGCATCTCACTCATCGTTGGGAACGCACACCGCGACATGGTCTCGCCTCTGTGGAGCAGATTCCTGGGCCATATCCTAAAGCGCAGCTGCAACATCGAGCATCTCGATCTGGAGTTCAACAAGAATGAATTTCGTCAAGAACTCGAGGAAGCTAGACTGATCGAGGAGCGGGTGCGACGAGATGGCAGTTTAAATGACGAAATCGCGGAACTTACTTCCGAGGCTTACTCACAGCCGTCTTGGCTGGAGGGCATTTCTCGACAACCTAGCTTGAGAAGAGTTTGCTTCGAAGGGGCTGTTCCGACTGTCTGGTTGGAGAAGCTTTGTCTGCTGTCCGCTGGACGGATCCGCGTCTTCACTGATGGAGTCCGCTTCCGAGAGGCAGAGAAGCCTAGGGCCAGAACTCTCAACGACGAAGCTGGTGACTTCATGCCAGAAAGGAGCAATCTGCACTCTGCAAACACTGTAGAAGGCCCAGAACACTTAGTGTCTACAAGGACCGGATTCCAGTTATTGGTTGAGCCTGCGGTTAGATTTGACTGATCGGATCGTCACGGCGAACCAGTCCGCCTAGTGAGTCTGCGACTTGAGAAATATCCTGGATGAGCTTTGCATCTGGAAACAGCCTTCAGCATGGCTCAAGTTGGTCTTTGACAACGCAGAATTGAACTACGATGAAGTTGATAAGCGCATGTACGATTCGAAAACTCTCCTCCGCACTTTGAAGCCATTCTGGCTTGAGGAAAAGCCACTTTGTGAGCTTCGCGCCACTTACAGTAAACTCGCCATGGTCTCCGAAACAAAACAAAAGACCTGAGGAGCCGGGAAGTGGATATAGACTGTGGGAAAGAATACTTGCTCTATAATGTATTGATACTGGCTCATTTTGGCCCTTCTAGTTCCAAGTTATCGGAATGCGCTTTATTCACTTCAGTCGCGTTCTGCGGTTTTTATCTAACTAAATAAACGTCAGTTACTTAGGTCCATCTCATTTCCAACTATCAAACAGACGTGTTAGTGGCAGTATGCTTCACAGATTGGTCAATAGCATCCGCGAGTGCAACGGGTTGACTCAGGAACGGCGAGTGGCTGGTGTTCAGGTTGATAGTGAACGATCCGGCCGGGAACTGGGATACCATGCCCCTTTGAGCCTGTTGACAGCGAGTCAATAAAGGAGCGGGCTAGAGGCTCAATCAAGGTTAACATACCTCAACAGCAATGGCCTGGCTTTTCTCTGTAAAGGTGTATCCAACTTGAAGTCTTTGACTCGTCTCGAAAGCTGATTTGTCCTGAACCGTCTTCAGCGGCTGGAGCTTAAGACGAGAGGCGCAAGTAGCTGCAGCAGGTTCGACATCTGCGTAAAATATTGCTCAAGGGCGCAGAGGTGATGTCAGGCGACCCTGCGGAGCCGCCATACAGGGGGTCGGTCAGGGGCTAGGGGCTACGAGAAATGTATATATATAGGCTGCGGAGGGCCAAAGTTGGGATGTATTCCAACCCCCTACCCATATTCTATCACCTGCGGACCACGTATGGAAGACCTCTTCACTCTGTTCTACCCAACGCTCTGACAGGTGATGGGAAGCCATCCTAACATTGCCCGTGTTAGAGTCATCGAAAGCAGCAGCCGTGGGATCGAATACCGGAGAGACTAAACTTACAGTGATGTTCTACCAGTCAGGATAGCCGCCGCCAACATCATCTTCGAGGCGCATTCCAGCAGATATGGGCGAACGAGGCCAAGCACGCGAATATTACCGCGCCTCCATTGTTTCCCTCTGCAGCCGTGTCCGTGACAGTGAGGACTTGACAGCATTAGAGGACGGTACGCCTCCATACAAGTGTGCGACCACAACGACCTCGTTTCCACGCTCGATGAGCCCCTCAAGCTCGGTGCGGATGCTTGCTGCGTCCTCATACATGCCCCCATCGGAGTCGAGATTGGCGAGCGAGGCCAGTGTCGTTGCCGAGCCTGGGTATCCGTGACTCTCCAGGTTCTTGCGGACCGTATCAAAAGCCCACGGGCCGTGCCAAGCGCCGGGAATGAAGACGATGGTCGGCAGACGGAACTCCTTCACTGGATGGGCCATGGCTGCGTGCGACAGGGCGAGGAAAGAGAAACCCCGCATTTTGGAATGTACGTTGGAGGTGCGTTGGCTGACTTTGGAGTGATGAGCTATGTCCGCGATGCTGGGGGTATGTAGGGTGCTGGGGGATCAAGCTTGACGACCCTGGTCGCGGAAACCGATGCGAGGTTGGATGAGACGGCATGTTAGGACTCGTGCGAGTCGGTTCGGGTTAAACAAGTCTTTATATCATCTGAAGTTTCACAAACGGTAGGATACAAGGGCTCTGGATGAAAGTTCTGAGAGGGAGCTAGATTGGCCATCTTTGCCATGGCCCCGAATTCTGCGATTAAGAATCACCCAGCAATTCAATACCAATTCAAGCTACATGGCGAGTTGAGACGGGCCGATGTTTTCACTGCTCGAGTACCGAGTGCCGCACAACATGCCCCGAACCTTGTGATACATGGGGCTTGGGTATGACACTCAGGTGCCGATTGTTGAAGAGTGCGAATTGTGCCGCTTGCGTTGTCTATGATTGCGCAACTAGATAGATGGTCGAATCATGGGGACGCCTTGTCAACTTTCACTGCACACATGTCGATAAAGGATCTTTTTGGTAGCTCTCGATACGCCAACATAGTCATACTGCTGCATATTGTTGTGGATCTGCCAGAGACTTCATCTTGCGCGGTCACGTATAATCAGCGTACCTGCCAGTTCATGTCCCTGGGGTTGTATCGTTGCTTCGCACGAGCCGTGAGCCTGATAACGCGGCCTTAGTAACGCTTGAAAATTAATACATTATTTTGAGGGCCTGAGTATTGCTTAAAATTGTTGAGGCAAGCAAGGACTTATGAAGATAGTACACCTGCGAGGTAAATTCCGAGTTAGGTTTGGTAACTGTGAAGGGATTAGTGTGTCGTAGAATAGGTAGTTGAACGATAAAGCTCTCCGCTTTCACATCCAATGCGGAATATGTCACGTCTAGCCGGCTCGAAGAGAGGCATCAATAGTTCCTGGAGAACATAGTAGCGTTTGCAGTGTTACGGCTCAGCGGAGCGCATGTTGTCCCGAATACCAACGAACTGAATCGTAGGCTATCGTACCTCCGAGGCTAAGAAGGCGTGCAACGGCTCCCTTCGTCTCGAAATCGTCCACACCATCACGTTAGCAACCGCAAAGCGGTCGACGCTGCCGTTCTACTGGAGAATCCTCAGCGCCAGCCAGAGCATCAGGATCCCAATCTGGACGTTGGGCGGGCTCGTCCTGGTCTGGGCGTCGCCGTCGTGGACGCGAGCTCGCCGGCCTGCCGAGGGGAGCATACTCGTCACGAAAACATCAAGCTCGAGAGCTGGTCAAGAGCGTGTTGACGGACCATGGCTGTATGCATCATAACCATGAGATGTATGCATTATCATTACACTACGTAAGGAACCCGAAAACAACGACAAACGCCTCGCCCATTCACGTTCGGGACGACGCAACCTCGCGAAAGACGGGATACTCATCCCCAGCCTCCACGTGAATGAGCCCAAACGTCACAAAACTCTCGGCGACCTCGGGCTCGAGCGCCACGAACGCGAGCGCCGCGTTCTTCTGCCGCGTGCTGACGCGGAAGCTGCCGGCGGGCAGATGCACGACCTTGTCGCTCGCCGCGACCGTCACCCTGTTGCGGATGAGGGCCTCGTACGGCTCGGCCTCGAAGTGGGACGAAGTGACGTTGAAGGCCTCGACGGTGCCGGCGTACGCGTAGGCGAGCGTCTCGATGTCGACGCCCTGGAGCGCGAGGCGGTCGGCAATGTCTGCGCGGTTGCGCGGGATAAGGTAGGCCTCCGGGCGGGAGCGGGTCTGGTTCGCGGTCGCCGGGGACGAGGAGAGGAACTCGATGGGGACGTCGACGATGGACCCGTTACGCGTATCGACGAGGGCGAAGGTGCGGTTCGTGCTCTCTTGGTAGTCGGACAGGACGATATCGGCGTTGCTGTGGATAAAGTCGTCGATGCTGTCTTGAAGGGTCGCGAGCACGTCATGGACATTGTCGCGTGCAATGTCGAGGAGTGCTTCTAGCATGGTCAGCGAGCTGGCGGTGCGACGTTGGAAGTGCTGGTCCGCCAGCCGGATACCGCGCGCCTCGCACAGAATAGCGACGGCCTGCGTCAGGCCGTAGGCGTTTCGGCCGCTGGTGGGACTGGTGACGGCCTCCTCGAAGACGATGGGCGATCCGACTGTCTCGTTTACGGGACCTGTGACATACGGGTTGACCCGGAATCCCGCAGCCTCCAGTCGCTCGGCAGCGCCCGCGGAGAACAGATCTTCGGTCAGATTGCGAATAGCGGCATGTGTGTTCAAGTTGCGACCCGAACCGATGAGGACGTCTGAACTGTGTCGGTAGACTCCGCCGAAAACGTTGGATGCAGTGTACTCGTGCATATCAATCACGACATGAGCATTGAATCTGGAGACGAATCTCTTGATGTCGCGCGACTGCTGCCGCACAAGCTTGGTGTGTTCTCGATTGGGGTCAATATTGGTGGCCAGCTCGCGCTGGAAGTACGCGACGCCATCGGGGTTGTATCGTGGCAGCACGAGAATGTCGAGACGCTCCAACAGATGTGAGGCCCACGTCTGGTTCGCATCCAGCTTGCCGAGAAGCGCAAGGATGCCTTGGTCACCGGCAGGCTCATTGCCGTGGATGGCGCCCTGGATGTACACGCGTAATTTGTCCGATGAGTTGGCGGCCGACGCATCCTTCGACGTGGACAGGAAGACGTGGGGAAAGGTACGGCCTTCTTCTGACAGGAACGGGACAACTTGGTAGTTCATCCAGGAATTGTGCAGAGTGAGGTTGCGAATGAAGAAGTCTACAGATGTTAGCCAGGATGGCAGATCAAGCTGGCGACCAGAACGCCTACCAAGCGTGGCATCACTTGTCGGTCCTGCTGTCCCATTGGCGAAGCCGTCAGGGATGGTCTCAGGGTCGAGGAAGGCTGGCGAGAGGAGCTCCACGTCGACGTCCTCAAAGTTTTTCGAAACGGCGTCATTGTCCTTCTGGACGGGCGCATGGTTCCAGCCAAGCTGGTACTCAGCTGAAGCGCCCTCGAGGCAGAATAGTAGGGCCCGAAGGCCAAAATGGGACATGGCAGAGCGCATGATGGGGTCGACGGCGGAAGCTCTAGAAAATCTGGAGAGGCGAGAACCAGTTGCCAACGACAACGGCTGCCATGGTTTCTGCAGTCAAGACGCCTTTATACTCGTCACGAGTCTGATACGTCTCCTGCAAAGGCGCCTCACAACCGAGGGACGAGTGCCGCCCGACGAGGCCGTCATCCTACCTCCTCCGGTCAGATCGACATGATCGAACCTCTTTACAGCACCGCGTCGTCTTCAGGCCTCAGCAGCCAAGATCCCGACTTTGCGCGAAGACATGCGTCCAACGGAAAGACATGCATCAAGGCAAGACACGCAGACCTAGGAACAAGGGCTGGCAGACGACGGCACAAAGGCCACAGCGGCGATCACAGTCTCAGACACGCGAAAAGGCGAGCGGCCTAAACCTCTCTTCGACAGGTAAGACAGGCGACACGCGCTGGTGCTGACCGTCGAAACGACTGCCGGACGAACCGTGACATTGGGTGGACATGAGTGCGGGGTGATGCGACGAGGCGGAGCGGCCGACTGGTCAATTTGCGGAGGGAAAGACGGCAGGGCGGGGTGATGTCCGATGTGTGTAAAACTAGGTTGTGCTCATCACTGCCCATCCTGCTACAAACTGCCGGGCCCAATGCATGTCCACCGGCGGCGGGTTCCCGATGCGGCCAAGAGCCGAGGCCGGGAGACGCGAGAGTGTTACATCACCGCGCATGGCAGGCAAAGTGATCGGCGGGTGCGGTGAGTGGCTCGCTGTCATTCGGTCTCGAGTCAGGACGCCGGTCTCGTGTCAGGACGCCGGTCTCGTGTCAACTCGCCGGGCGGACAATAGTGTCTCACCCGCACATGTGGGCTGTTGAATCTGTTAGGCCCGACACGGGGATCTCACGGCGATCTCTTGATGGTTGGGACGGTTGTGGTTTGGTCTCATTCTTATTCGGGTATGCAGCCCTTCTTCTTTGGGCCTGGTATCACTCTTTTCAGTTCATGCTTCACATGTCTCATCCATCCTTCCTCAGAGCTTGGCCTGCGCCGGGTTCTTGATCTCGACAATCATCTTGCCCGTGTTAATACCGTTGTACAGGTCCACGAGGGCCTGCTCGGCGACCTGGAGGCCGCCCTGCACGATCGTGTCCTTGCGCTTGATCTTGCCCTCGTCGAGCCACTGGGCGAGGTCCTTGCGCGCCTGGGGGAACTCCTTGGCGAAGTCGAGGATGATGAAGCCCTGCATCTTGATGCGCATGGTGATGATCTGCGTGTAGTTCTGCACATTGTCAGTACGCGACGACGCCGTAGGAGCGAGGCTTGCGCCACAAAGTGCGGTGAGACACGACGTACCCTGGGGCCGGCTGGCGTAGCTGTGTTGTACTGGCTGATGGCGCCGCAGATGACGAAGCGGGCGTGCTCCTTGGCGCGGTCGAGGGCGGCCTCGAGGACGGCACCGCCAACATTGTCAAAGTAGACGTCGACAAAGTTGGGAGTGGCCTCCTTGAACTTCTTGCGGAAATCAGGGTCCTTGTAGTTGATGGCGACGTCGAAGCCGAGGTCGTCAGTCAACCACTTGCACTTGTCGTCGGAGCCGGCAATGCCAATGACGCGGGCGCCGCGAATCTTGGCCAGCTGACCGGCAACGCTGCCCGTAGCGCCGGCCGCACCAGAGACGACGACGGTCTCGCCGGCCTTGGGCTCACCAATATGGAGCATGCCAAAGTAGGCCGTCAGGCCGGTGGTGCCGAGGACAGAGAGGTAGTCGGTGGGGTGGGAGATGGGCGGGTAGGCAGCGGCGGGCTGGATGGCGGCGGGCGGCAGAATGGCGTGCTCAGCCCAGCCAGCGTAGGTCGGGATGATATCGCCAGCGGCGGCCTTGTCAGACTTGGAGGCGAGAATACGAGAGACGGCGGCTCCACGCATCGTCTCGCCAATCTGACAGGGGCAGGTAGACGCTTGTCTGCGGGGAACAAGCGTGTCAGCGTCTTGGAGGAGCATCAAGTCAGAGGTGGGAGCCATGACGACAAACGCACCGTTCAACCAGCCACGCATGGCGGGGTCGAGACTGAGGTAGAGGTTCTCGACGAGGACCTCGCCATCCTTGAGATCCTGCTCGCGGGGGATGGGCTGCTTCTCCGTCTTGAAGGTCTGGCCGGGGATGATTTCAGCCTTGGGCCTCTCGGCGAGGACGACACGCAGGCTCTCAGACATGGTAGCGGTGATGGTGGGATGGCGAGGTGGTAGACAGGGATGGGTCGTTCGTCTAGTTGTCCAAGGTGTTGGTCTTGTCGTCCAGATATTGGTCTATGTCCGTCGTGGATCAAACGTCGTGGATCCAGGGCTCAACAGAAAGAGGAAGCAGGCAGTACATAGCTTGTGCCGAGGAAAGCTTGTCTTAAATATGCTCGGCCGCGTCCCGTCCCCATTCTGAGACGGGGATCGGTGGAGAGGGCGTCGGAGGCGGCATCGCCAACTGTGTGGTGCCAAACCCAAGACGGTGAAAGCGCCGGGGCGCTAGGGCGTCAAGGGGGCTTGGAGCCGAAGCTCCACGCTCGGGGGCTGGGCCGGATGGAGTGGCACATCGCGGGGTGACGCCATGCCGAGGCTTGCGGTGAGGCCGAAAGGGCGAAGGGGAAGACGAGGAGGCTACAGTAAGTGGATTGATGGAGGAGGGGAGGAGATGGTGATGGGAAGAACGAGGAGGGGTTGATGAAGAGAGGTTGATGAAGAGAGGTTGATGAAGAGAGGTTGATGAAGAGAGGTTGATGAAGATGTTGGAGGCTTACGTGATCAGGCAGCAGCTCATCTTCCAGAAGGGGTATTCACAGCAGCGCCTGCCGTCCAGGGGAGCAGATAGCGGGTAGCAGGAGCGAGCAGGGGCAGAGCAGGAGCGAGCAGGGGCTTAGCAGGAGCAGGAGCATTGGAGGTACCCCAACGGGCCCAGGGTCTGTTGGGGCGATCACCCAATCGGGGCAATAAACCGCCCGAGATCTCATGCTTCAGGGGCCTTGCCCGCTGACAGGCTCGCGCCAGTGACCCCTCCCCCGCACCGCAGGCCGAGGCCGCGACGTTGGGCGTGATCCTCGGCAGCTGCAGATGTTCTCCAGGCTTTTTATTCTTTCAATTTGTACAGTGAACGAAAGAAACAAAAAGTATCAAGATGAGAAAAAATAGAGGGGAGCACCGAAAACAAGTCTGCGAATTGACCATGCTACTAGTGTAGAGTATATGCCATGACGCACAGCAAGCGTCATGGCGTGTAGCTGTCAAGGCCTCCCCATCTAGCGAGACATCTCGAACAAACATTTCCTCCGTCTCAATCGACAGTCCCCCGTTCCAACAGTCCCGTACTGCCTCCTACTCGGCCGGCCAGACGAGCCACGCCCCCACGAGCACAAGCTTGAGCACCGCCGCCGCCCACAGCGCCCCAGCAATGCCAATCTCGCTCCCGGCAAACAGCCCGCCAGCGACGGCCCCCCCGAGCAGCAGCAGCGGCGCCGCAACGCGCCTGTTCCTCTCGCCGTTGTCGGCGCCGAACAGGCGCGCGTCGCCAAAGAGGTCGGTGTAGATGCTCGTCAGGACGACGCTCGTCAGGGCGTTGCGCTCGAGGGCGCGGCTCGTGACGGCCTGGCCGCAGCTCTGGAAGGCGACGAGCGCAATGGGCGCCAGCACGTCCCACGACAGGTCGTCGGCCGGCCGCCGCCGCCGCCGCGGGCCGAGCGAGATGATGAGGCTGGCCGCCAGAAGCAGGGCCAGCTGGGCGGCGAAGGAGGCGGCGAGGACCCAGCGGCGGCGGGCCGGGAAGCCGCGGTGGAAGCGCGAGAAGACGAGGGAGCCGAGGCAGAACGCGGCGAGGGAGACGGACGACTTGATCCAGCGCGTCGATTCGCGCGGCGCTGCGAGGCCGAGGCCGATGTAGATGGGTGTTGCCTGTCTGCATCGACACGAAGGAGCCCCAGATCTGGTTCGACGCGCTGTCGAGGAGGCCCCGTGATGATGTAGCAGGCGAGGAGGACGAGGTCGGTGTGCTTGCGGCTGACGGAGGTGGTCAGATGGGTCTTGAGGCGCGAGGCCGTGGTCGAGGCAGCGGCGTCGGCATCGCGAGAGGTGCCCAGCAAAAGGCTGCTGTTCGGCCTCCGCCACAAAAAGTTGGAGTCTGCAAAGCGAGCAAAACGAATGGCAGCTTGAGAGTCTGTTTCCTTGGTCTTTCTCGACCAGCAACGACGAGACAGCAGAGAGAAATAGACAAATTCCTCTGGAGGGGATACGCTTTGGCGCCCGGCAAACAAGCCAAGTCGAGTCAGCTTGGCCGACGATGCGCCGTCTTGGATCGTGCCGCAGCGGGTCGAAGCAGTGCTGGGTAACCATCAAGCTGTGCCAAATGACGTCGTCGTCGCAGTACCACAGGTCAATTGAGCACGCTTAGTGGCTCGTCTGCCCAAGACACCCCACCATCCCCCAGGGGGGCTATTACCCCCTGACCGCCTGGCTATGACCCCCTGACCGCCTGGCTTTTACCCCCTGACCGCCTAATCCCTGGGCCGTCCTGGTCCCAGGCCTCGCTGACATGCACTGACGCTCGCTGGAAACCCCACCAGAGCTCAGACGCGGTGCCCCTGTGCCCCTGCCTGGTCATCTAGCGGGTACGTACTGTTTTCCATGGTCAGCCCAGATGTCACCACAACCACCGCCTTCGCACCACGCGGCGACAGCGGCCCCGTAAGGTCAACAACCCCTACACCCCGGGCTACAGGGGCCCCTACGGCCGGCCCGGCGCCCTGCGCAAGATGCACTGGCACCCCAACGCCGGCGAGTGGTCCTTCCTCCGCGGCCGCGCGCGCGTCACCGTCTTTGCGGCCGAGAGCATGGCGAGCATCTTTGACTACGGGCCCGCGACGTGGACATCGTGCCGAAGAACATGGGCCATTTCGTCGAGAATATCGCGACGAGGAGATTGAGATGCTCGAAATCTTTCGGGTTGATGAGTCTAGGGACTTTTCGTTGTTTTAGTGACTCGGCGAGACGCTGAAGAAGTTGGTGTGTGGTTCACCTATTTGCTGATGACGAGGAGAATGCGAAGAAGTTCTTGGAGAGCATCTATCCGGAGAGCGATCCCATTAGGAAGGTTACGCTGATGATCTTACAATACGAGTTATTGAAATATAGGAATGACTTAACGTGGGATTTATGATCGTGACAAGGTGTTTTTAGCAGGGAATATAGTTACTCCCACAGCGACATCGACTCTACAGACGGATAGAACACGTCAATTCCCAATACTAGACTCAATCCAGACAAAAAACTATCATCACCCTTTTTACATGAACCAAGCAAAGAACATCAGTTGAGCTCATGAGCCGACTTGATGGCCTTTGATTTCCCAGCGTCGATCACCACAGCCGGGTCCTCAGCGTCGCCCTTCCGCGTCACCTGGTTGCCGTTCTTCGTCGTGATGGACGTGCTGTCGCTGTTAGTTCTGGCGTTGCAAATCACACGGACAGAACAGACTTACTCCTCGCCCTTGACATCGAGCACCTTGCCCTCGGGCTGGCCACCGCCCCAGTTCCACGAGACCGTGTCGCCCTTCTTCGGCCCCTTCTTCGGCTTGCCGCCGCCGTTAGACTTGCCCTTGCCGTCGCCTCCTTCCTCTTCGTTATCATCGTCGTCACCTTCGTCCTCGACGTATTCCTCGTTGTCCTCTTCTTTTTCCTCAGCTTCCTCGTCTCCCTTGTCGTCACCATTCTTCTTGGCGTTGCCGTTCGTCGTGGATCCCTTGCCTTGTCGTGTCTCTCGTTTCTTGTTGGCGCCGTTCTGTGCGCTCGTCTTCTTGCGCTTGTCGCCCGCCTTGGCGTCTCCGTCCTCCTTGTCGTCGCCCTCGTCCTCGTCCTCCTCCTCGGCATCTTCCTCTTGAACATCTTCATCGGCCTCTTCCATCTCAGCATCTTCTTCCTTGTCGTTCTCCTTCTTGTCCTTCTGCTTCTTGTTGCCCTGCTTCTTGTTGCCCTGCTTCTTACTGTCGCTACCGCCGTCTCGTCCCTCAGCCTTGAGGAAGTCATGGCCCCAGTTCTTCAGCGAAGCATACGACTTGGTCTTCTTGACCTCCTCATCCGTCTTCTCCTCATTGCCCTTGGCCTCCTGCGCCAGATGCCGCTTGCTGCCACTGCCATCAATAACCGCATCTTCTCTTTGAGAAAAGAGAAAAGAAACGGGGGGGGACATACCAGTATGCGACAACCTTGCGCATGTGCTCCACCTGCTCGTCCGTGTACTTGTCCTCCTTCCGGTCCGGGTTCGCCTTGAGGATCTCGACAATCTTGCGCCCGCTGTCGTGGCCCACCGTCTCGCCGTCGCCGTCGGCATCGTCCTTCGGCCAGCCGGCGCTGTTGGCGTCGTCGGACTTGAGCCAGGTTTCGAGGTCCGAGGCTGTCATGTTGACGAGCGAGTTGAACTCGGAGATGACTTCTTCCTTGGGCTTGACCATTTTCGATTCTTTTTCCGTCTCACTTATTCGTCTGTACTTGTCTGTCCGTAGGGTGGGTGTCGTGCTTCGGTGACCTGTAACCTGAATAAACTCCTAGGGCGATGAGTTGATGAGGAAAACAGGTCAGGAGGCAAACGTAAGATGAACCTCTGCTACACTTTAATGCTTCTCCCCCAGCGCCAGCTACAATCTGAGGCGCGCCAGCCCTGTGCCTGGCCGTCGCACCTCTGGCACACGGATGGCACACGGACGGGCCATGCTGTGCGCGCGCCGGTTGCGGCGCCGTAGAGCTGGCGCGATCATGACGGCGTCATTGTGTCTCGGCGACGAGTCGTGTCGTCATGGGGAGCCCCTGCATAAGTGGCTTGCGGATCGTGCTGGATCGCGGGGTCTAACGAAGCTTCTTTGCGCGATGCGTCCCAATTGATGTGTCTCATTCGTCCCTCTTCGGTCTCGACCCTCATCGTCGGAGCTGGCACTCGAGCTGACCAGAAAGCTCGGGAGGGAGGGGGGCTCTCCGGGGGGGGAGCTCCGGGGAACAGACCCCAGGGATCGGGGCACTTGAGACCTAGGTTCGTCCTAAAAAGAGGTCTCACTTGTGACGCATGCGTCGAGGATGGCATTTCTGCAGATTCTCGATGAACTACTGGTCATTACGTCTATGATCGGACAGGCACAAGCACAGGCACGGCCCTCCATCTCATACATGGCTCCCATTTCAGCCCGAGTGCCTTAGTTGAACTGGCACTCCGTCTGGTCGTTCTTGATGACATTGTCGAGGTTCGAGCCGAGCAAGCCCGCCCTGTCGATCCAGGCCTGCACCGCGTTAGCATAAGACGTCCTCCCAGCCACCGACTTTCCTATTGACTCACGTCCAGAACGTCGCCCTCGACCTGCTGCTCCCTGCTGAGGATGAACAGCGTCGAAAAGTTGCTCGACTGCACAATGGCAAAGTCGCCCGTGTAGTCTGGCCTCGTCAGCACGCCACCTCTCACGGTCCAGACCGGGCACGATCGCCTTACCCTGAACAATGTAGTTCGGTCCCGCGCACTCGGGCCCCGGCTGACCGGGGAACTGCACCCGGAAGACACCCTTGGCTCCGTAGCCCGGATCCGCGGGGGACGCGGTGCCGAGTATGTTGACGGCACGACCGGCGGCCTCGCACGTGTTGTTGACCTTGACGGTGCCATTGTCGTTGAGGGAGTACTCGGCGCGGATGCACTTGCAGTTGCCGGTGAAGGGCGCCAGGGTGCCGGCGACCTGGTACCAGCGGCCGAGGTAGGACTCGAGACCGAAGCCGATGTCGCCGGTCGGGTAGTAGCACTCGCCGTCCCACAGGGAGGGGACGACATTCGGCACGGCGGGCGCCGGCGACGTCGTGTCGTTCTGGCACGAGGCCAGGGCGGCCGCGGCCAGGGGGAGGAGGGCGAAGGAGCGCATGGCTGGCTGTGTGGTGTGTGTGCTGGAATCTGCTGGCGTTTCTGCTGCTGTTTGTTTGATGTCGTCTACAACTGCGCCATCACGAACATGCAATTGCTTCAGCCCAGGCTACTTATACGGCATCAATTGCTAGACTATTTTCTCAAAGACACCTCACTATGATCATGCCAATCCAGCTCGCACACTTGAGAAGGCCGAGGTGCGAGCTAAAAGGCTGGCAAAAGCGAGTCGTCTCCAAGAGACATCACTGAGTGGTGACGACATTAGGTCTTCATCGGGCAGTGTCTTCGCCCTGCCAAGTCGGCAGCGTGTGCTGATCGGCGCCCAGCTCGAGGCCGCCAGGCCGCGCTTTGCCGACTTTGGCGAATGCCCCGGGGCCCCGATCGATGAGCGGCTGGGGCTGGCCTTCGGAACCGGCAATCGGGTTTGGTGGGAGGATCAGTGCTTTCTGCATGCTGGCGTTGGCCGGGTGCACATTGCCATTAATGCCCGTGGTCGTTCATCCTGGGGGTGATCAAGTTGAGCTGCTGGAAGAACATGAGTCGGCGGTGAGCAGACAGCCAGCATTCATGTCCATGTTAAGACTTCTCTCAATAGTCCCAGATCATGAGACAGACATCCGCGACGATGAGACAGTGTGGCCAGCACAATGGCTTTCGCTTGAGACAAGTCCTAGTGGGCGACAGCTCGCTGAGCGTCGAGCAGACCAAGAGCAGAAGCCCACTGATTCAGGCGCTACTCGCTATTGATCCACGATCTCAAGTCGCCAGACGTCTCTGGATTCAAGCCTCATCAGTCTTCTCATCGTCTGACCCTGTGCTAGAATTGTCCCTGCATCCCATCATCCAGAAGATGTTTACCCCGCCCTGGCTTAACCGCTTTTGGGAAGACCGTTGACGAGACCTTCACGCTCGGCAAGGGAAAAGATACCCGACACGGCTGTCACGACGACTTCAAAATGGTCTTCACACAGCAAATCTCAGTCGCCGTTCCTCAAACTCAAGATCAACGTTGCCATAACACTCTGGACCACCCGAAACTCCTGTCCTACCCCCAACCACCAGCATGGCGCAAGACCACCCCATGGCCGGCCGCGGCATCCTCTACGTCAACTCGAAAATCGCCCGCCCCGATCTCATCAACGAGGAGCAGTACATGGACTGGTACGACAACGACCACATGGCCGAGATTCTCGAGACGAGCGCCATGAAGACAGCCTTCCGCTACAAGGACGTCGACCCCAGCGCCGAGAGGCCCTTTCTTGCCATGTATCCCCTGGACGACATGGCCTTCATGCAGACGGACGAGTTCAAGGGTATCCGCGTCCACAGCGACCTGCTGCCTGGCGGCGGACCCGTCTACGACGTTGCCGAGATTGACGTGCGGTATTACAAGCTCACGCAGGTGTATGACCCCACGAACAAGGGGCCTGGTGTGTGTCCCCTCCTTATCCTCGGGACAGTGTAGAATGCAGCTGACCGTTTGAGGAATCAAGGCCACACGAAGACCATTCTCTCGGCACAGGTCGAGCTGGGCTCTGATGTTTCCCCTGAGGAACTCGATCGGTGGTATCGCGAAGAGGTACGTACATCACTGTGCATGATCCGAACCCGAGCCTTGGACTCGCCCCTCACATTTTGTAAGCATATGGCACAGAGAGCTGACCGGAGTCATCAAACCGCGAACAGCACCTGGAGAGAATGTCGCAATGGGCAGGATTCCTGCGCACGACCCGCTTCGAGCTCGCGTACGCACGGTCGAACGCGCAGTCCAGGGCGCTCAAGGGGCTGGCGGCCGAGAACGAGGAGGCGCCGCGGCCGCCGACGTACCTTGCGCTGCATGAGTTTTCGGGGGATCTGGACCTGAAGAGGATGATGGAGTTCACCGACAGCGCGTGGACGAGGAAGATCGTTCCGGGGTTGAAGGTTGTTCTGACGCCCGTGTACGGTCTTGTCGTTGCGCACGGCAAGCGGGATTGGTTCCATGGCGTTGACGTGTGAGCTCTGCTGGCATCCTGGTGGATTCTCTACTCTGGTCATGAGGGTGAATTATAGCCTTGAGCGTTGTTTGTCTCTTCATTGGAACGAATTGCCCAGGGAAACACGTGCTGATCCTCGGATAGCGGAATACGCCATTGCTGATGTGAGCATGAACCACGTCGTGATTTTCGTCTCCTCGTGATGCTTGTCTTGGCCCATTGCGATGCGTGCGGCGCCATGAGATGCTGTGTTACCCCAGAATGTGCTCGATGAAACACGAAAATGTCATTCTCGTGCCCCGAGGGATGAGCAGGCAGATGGCTTTGCCAAAGTGTAGCTGAGGGGTAAAGGATTCAGCCGTGCAGTAGTCCGGCGTCCGACTGTTGCATTCATGCACGCGGCTGGCCCGGATCACAGACAGACGTGCCGTGGCCTCGCTGATCCTCCATCGGATTGAGTGATTTGGAGTCATCACGCGGGCGGTGGTTGTACGTATAGAATCAGGCTCCCATATTGCTTATTCGTCGGTACTTGGCAAAGTATTCTTCGCCCCGCCATCGAGTTCAGCTCGGTGGACAACGCGAAGGCGACTATAAGTACCTTGGGTAGCCAAGTCTCAACCCACTCGTCAGTACCGACGTACTCACTGCCAGAAGCAGCCATCGAACTCAGATCAGGTGAAGCAAATGTTCCTGAGATCCATCGAAACTATGCATCGCCCATTCTTGACCACCTTTCTTCTCTGGCTTGGGCTGGCCGTCCTCGTGCCATGCCAGGAATATGACCAGGGAGCCCCCGCAGTCCGTCTTCCTGAGGTCGACTTGCGATACCGCATACTGACCTCCATACGTAGTGCGAGGCGCTCGATAAAGCGCTTCCCGGCAGGGTAGCTTACCCGCAGACAGAAGCATACGACGTCTCCAACACGTTTTGGTCGAACCGTCAATCCGCCGTCCGACCAGCCTGCTTTCTCCTCCCCAATTCAACCGCAGACGTATCGACAGGGCTCAAGATACTCACATCGCTGCGCACCAAGTTTTCCGTCAAAGGCGGCGGCCACACTCCGTTCGCGGGGGGCTCCAACATGCAGGGCGGCGTCACCATCAGCCTCGAGGCCCTCAACGACGTCACCGTCAGCGCGAGCCGCAAGACCGTCTCCATCGGGCCGGGAAACCGCTGGATCGACGTGACGAGGAAGCTGGACCCCCTCGGCCTCGCCGTCGTGGGCGGCCGCGTCGCCGAGGTCGGCGTCGCGGGCCTGCTCCTCGGCGGCGGCATCTCGTTCCTCTCCGAGCAGCACGGCTGGGCGTGCGACAACGTGCAGACGTACGAGGTGGTGCTCGCGACGGGCGAGATTGTGCTCGCGACGCCGACGCAGAACGAGGACCTGTACTGGGCGCTCCGCGGCGGCGGCGGGTCGAGCTTCGGCGTCGTGACGCGGTTCGACGTCGACGCCTTTGCGCAGGGCGACCTCTGGGGGCGGGCGCTCCTCTGGCCGGGGACGGAGAGCGGCGGCGTGCTGGCGCAGCTGACGCTCGTCGCGCGGGACGTGCTGCCGCTGGACAGGGACGCGCACGTGTTTGTCGTGCTGGCCCACGCGCCGCAGGTTGGCGGGGACGTTGTGCTGGCGTCGCTGTACCACCTCACGCATGCTGCGACGCAGGCGGCGGCCGACGGGGCGGTGCCGGATGTCTTGGAGGGGTTCGTGCGGCTGCGTGGCCAGATTTCGAACACGACGACCGTGGCGCCGGTCTCGACGCACCTGGAGGCCATTTCGGATCGATACGGCTTCCGCAAGACGTGGTGGGATACGACGGTTTCGATTGGCGATGCGGGGGATGACTTGCTTCTCCTCGAGACGCTGCCCAAGTGGGATGCCCATGTCGAGGCGTTGCTGGCGGCGGCTGAGGAGGCTGGCGACACGGTTGTTCCACAGATTGCTTTCCAGCCCATCTCGACCAACGTGCTCAAAGAGATGCAGAAGAACGGAGGCAACGCACTGGGGCTGCATGTCGGTGACGGACCGCTCGTCTTGATCCATGTCATGGCGACCTGGTCGAGTGACAAGTTGGACTGCTTCATGGAGAAAAAGGCAAAGGAGTTGATCGAGGATATCGAAACAAGAGCCGAAGCGCGAGGGCAGAGGAATGGATACAAGTACATCAACTATGCCGGCAGAACACAAGATGTATTCGGCAGCTACGGCGAGGAGAACCACCAGAGGCTGCGAGAGGTATCGCAAAAGTACGACCCCGAAGACTTGCTGCAGAGCCTCTGGAGGGGCTATTTCAAAGTCAGGTAGAAATCTTTTCAGTCAAGTAATTTTCAGTCCAGTAATTTTCAGTCAAGTAATTTTCAGTCAAGTAATTTTCAGTCAAGTAATTTTCAGTCAAGTAATTTTCAGCCAAGTAAGCAAATGATCAACCATGTCTGGTCAGAGAGTGGTGTAGATCCTATATCAAGGTCAAGGGTTCATGTTGTAGACGGAGGCGGCGTGGCTGGTGATTCCGCCACTGGTGGCGCAGGTCGTGATGGTGACAGCGACGACGAGCTTTTGGACCTCGACAGAAGAAAGCACCTTTCCATGTCATGACCACTTTTCGACACCCCCCATCTACAGCGCACCAACCCCCATCGCCGAAGCATTCTTCATTCTTCATCGGACAATCATCTCACACGGTTTGCATTCCCCCATTGACGTCTCAACGCCACGTGTGTGAGCTCTTTAGCACGGGCCCAGCCCAGGTCGTCCTAGATTGTCGTGACATCACCACTCGCCTTCACTGGCGCATCGCATGTCCTCGCAACCGAGTCCATCTCATCAGACTGTCATCTCATCAGACTGTCATCTCATCAGACTGTCATCTCATCAGACTGTCATCTCATCAGACTGTCATCTCATCGATTCTTCGTTCTTCATTGTTTGTACTCGGTCGCTTCGGACGAGCCTCTGAAAGACTGCGAAGCGTCACTCACCTCCACTGCATGCTCAGGAACGCCAGCAATCACCATGTCCCGGGTCACTCGAGCCAGCGCACGGCAAGCTGCCGCCACCAGCACGCCCAAAGCTACTTCGCCTCTCCGCAGCCAAGCCAGGCGGGCTAACATCAAGGCCGAGCCCACCGACGAAAAGCCATCGAAACGCAAGAAGACTACCAAGTCATCCACCAAAGCAAGCTCCAAGCGCATCAAGACGGAAGACGACGACGACGACGATGCCCTGCCAGCAACGCCTGCCAAGCGCGTCAAGAAGGACCCCTCCGAAGACGATGCACCGGCAGCCAAACCCAACGTCTCTCCATCAGGGGCATCACCCAACGCCCTCCAAGCCAAGAAGCTCAAGGCCTTTGCTCAATTCTCAGCCAAATCCCCCTTCCCCGACTTTGCCCACCCCACGGCCGAGGAAGCCAAGCTCGCGCACCGCATCCTCACCTCGCTGCACGGCGCCCGCACGCGGCCCGACACGGTCAAGGCGCCGACCTCGCGCGCCGGCTGCGGCGACTCGCCCTCGGTGCTCGACGCTCTCGTGCGCACCATCCTCAGCCAGAACACGAGCGACGCCAACTCGACGCGCGCCAAGCGCAGCATGGACGCCGTCTACGGCGGCAGCGACGCCTGGGCCGCCATCGCCGCCGGCGGCGCCCCGAAGCTGCAGGAGGCCATCAAGTGCGGCGGCCTCGCCGCCGTCAAGAGCAAGGTCATCCTCGGCATCCTCGCCCAGGCCAAGGCCCGCTACGGCGCCTACTCGCTCGACCACATGTTCGACCGGACCGACGACGAGGCCATGCGCGAGCTCCTCGCCTTCCAGGGCGTCGGCCCCAAGACGGCCAGCTGCGTGCTGCTGTTCTGTCTCCGGCGCGAGAGCTTCGCCGTCGACACGCACGTGGGGGGGCATCCCGGGCCTTCCG